CATGCTGCTCTCCACCTTGATCAGAAAAAGCTTCAACTTTTACAGGGATTTGGAGAAGGATTAAGTGTTAAGTGGTCCTGGGAATAGCTGGAGGGAGGTAATGGTAAGCGAGATATCATCAAAATACATTGTATACATGTATGAAATATTCAGAGAATGAATAGAAATATTCTTAATTTTATTTATTTACTTAGTTTTTTTGTTTTTTTTGCCTTGTAAGCCATTTCATATAACTCTTTCAACTAAAAGTGGTCTGGTTCCTCAAATTGTCCTGTAAAAATGATAACCTACTAGGAAACAAGTTATCAAAAGGCTGATTTCATCACACAGCACATGGAACTTTGTTTATAGTGAAAGAAGAAAAGAGGCAAAACAAGACTCAAGTGAACTGCTTCATGAGAAGTATGCACAGCTACCACACAAGCATGCAATTAAACAAAATCAACCTCAGAAGCTATTAACTGCCTACCGTGTGCTTAGTTTGAATTAGAGATTGTGTTCAGCCAAGGATGAGTTCCACTTAACCTCCAACCCAGCAGAGGTTCATAGCTAAGAAAAAAAATCTGCCTGTAACTGTGAGAGAGGTGGGGACCTACTAAAAATCAGGCAGGGGATGAGAAAATAGGACTCAAATCCAACTCTGTGACCTCAGGCATATCTCCGAGTCTCAGGATATATGCATCTCTTCACATATGGAATGAAGCAGAGTGTTGGATATGAGCCCACCTGTGAGCTCCCAACTCCCCCAGGTTTGTAGGAAGCCATTTGTCTATGGAGAGTGGAATCTCATGAAAGTCTGGCTTCTAGCACCTGGGGGAGATCTCTGGCTTGTTTCCCTGAAAAAGATCTGCTTTGCAGCCTGAGACCGGAAATCAACCAAACCTGTACAGTTCTCAGGAGAGTCTCATTTTCATACTGCCAAAACGAAATAGCCTGTTCCTGCATAGGGACACAGGAGTGTTTTGGCTCAGCTCTGATTACTCAGGGCGTTAATATCCACCTGCTTTTCTGACTGCTTGGCATATTTGTAAATTACCTGCTGGATGCAAGCAGAGGAGGGACGCCATGCAAGCATGAGATCCCCACACCCCTGTCTTTCCCACTGAATAAAGGAGTGCAGGGGGATTTGTGGACCACCTGTCTCCAGCCTCTGGGAAATGTCGGTGCTTGGCAAGAAAAGGTTAAAAAAAATAGGCAGATTTCTTCAATCCATAAAGGGAGGTCTCAACGCATAAGCAGTAAGTTCAAATAGCATTTTCAAGGTGAATAGTGCAGACACGTCCCAGATCTTTTGCTGTACTCAAGCTCTTCCCTCCTTGAGTCCCATTCACAATTCTTCACACAGCTCTCTGCCTGGATGCCCTCCCACAGAGCTGTCGCTGGTCCATCAAGGCTTTCCCACTCTTCTACAAATAACTTTCCTTACTTTGATTTCTTTGGATGATACCAGTGATCTGTTATCCCCACACAAAACTTCTCATTCAAGAGTGAGTATATTAAAGCCTGAAAGCTCATAATTAAATCTGAGCGTCTCATTCTGTAAAAGATTTCCTTTACAACTGGGATGAATGCTGTTTCCAGGACAGGCTAAGAGTTCATCCCAAGAAAATATGTTGTGTGGTTAGGTTACATTGTGGAATTTTATCTCTCTCACTCTTCAAACATGACAACATTCATGGAGCAATTAAAAACTGAAAAACAAAAAGGAAGGGAGGCAGCATTCCCTACACTCACTTCATGGCAATAAAATCTCTTTTCTCAAGAGAGCAGAGAATGTTCTTCTAAACTCACTTTGAGAAGTGTCATTGCAAGCCTTTGTGCTATTTCAACTGAGCTAATTGTCTGATAATTACCAGTGACTTCTGGGAATGACTTAGGAATGAATGCAGGTTGAGCCCTTGACACACAGAACCCTGCCAAAGTGAAAAGATGAGCCTGGAGTAGAGAGTCTTCACACGTCTTCTTTAGCTTCTAATCGTAGTAGGCACGTGTTTAGCAGTGACTGATACCCTTGTTTGGTAGGCAGTGATGGCCTGCATATCAGTCCACAAGTAGAGAAACCACGGAAGGCTTTAATAGTAGCTTTCCTCCCTGCTTCTCAGCTGATCTTTCTTTCTTAGATCTCACGTGTGATGAAATGGTATTCATGTTCAGTGTCTAAAATGGCTGGTTCAACAGAGAGCCCTTTTATGTATTCAGTAGATCATGCCTAGATGGCCTTTCTTAGTATATAAGTTTCTTTAATCTTCAAAAAATAAATCCCCATAAGGACTGGGAATGCAGTTCTGGGATAAAACATCCTCTGAACATGCAGAGTGCCTGGGTTCCATCCACAGCATCACGGAAAGCAGATGGAAGTACAAGGTTATGTGTACCCCATCTGCAAACCTTGAATCCCAGAACTTCAGAATTCTAAGCTTTGGAGCACCAATATGATACTGACTCTATGGCTAGGTCTCAGTCAAAACACAGCCGCACTAAAAATAGTACATGGGATACAGAGATACTGGTTCCTGCATATTTAGTTCTATTTATTCATAATAAATAAAAAATGGAAACATTCTACATGTCCTCCAATTAATGAATGGATAATGAAATTGTGCTACATGTATACTATAGAATTATATTCAACAGTATCAAAATAATGAAATCCTGTAATGCACGCCCCCTGCCATCACCCAGTGATGGTCGGTACATTATCATATATTGTCATATATTAGCAAACAAAATGCCCAGTGCCAGGTGAGGTTCAAGTTCTTCATTGAGAGAGGTCCATATGACCCCCAAACAATGTCTATTGCCATTGCTCTTGGTTGCCTGCCAGAACTGGACAGACTCTCTTGCTTAAGACACCATCAACTTTTGTCACAGGACTTGGAGGCATCAAGCTGGTACTGTCCTGGAAGCCTACTCCCTGATGGCTAGCTCTTCTAGCATTAGAAGGAGCTATGTAAGCCACCGAGGGGGGAAAAGTTTTCAATAGCCCTATCCAGTTGCAAATCCTTTAAACTGCAATACTGATCAGCTGAGAAAGACACGCCCCATAGTAAAACTTTGGCACTGATTTTTCGGGAGCATCAGATCTGTCTTATTGGATGTAAGGCTTCACTCAGTAGAAGGAACTCAAGAAGGTACTGTCAACCGAGACAAGAACCAATGGCTGAAAAGGTCAGAATGTAGGTGAGAACCGAATGCTATCATCTGGTTAAATTGATTCAGCCTTCCAAATACTCCTGCTTCAAACACACCTAAATGAAGCTCTCACCCCTCATCAAAGGAGCTGCTCCCTGTATCAGATGGAGGCTACTACAGTGACCCACACTGGTCAAAGAACAGAGAACAGTGACTGTGGCCCACCATCAAACATCACCCCTATAGCCAAGGTTCAGAGATCATCATGGGAGAGGGAGTGGAAAGAGGGTAAGAGCCGGAGGACTGGAAGGATAGCTACAAAAGGGTACCTTCTGTACACGACAGGAGTCTTACATTCAAGATCTTTTAACAATATGGTTGCCTGCACAAGAGACCACAGTAGTCAATATTCTGGAAGAGACAGGAAGGAATCTCAAGGCCCTTTCTGTAGTTGGAGGCAGCTTTCTGTAGCTACAGGCAGATGATGGGAGAGAGAAGGGGAATCAATTTTTTTCAGGGATGGGACCTTGGTAGACAACTCATGTCCAAGTGGGTCAACTATACATTCACATACATACATGTACATTGTACATACTCACATACAAATATGTGTGTATATATATATATATATATATATATATATATACTCACATATATTTGTATATATGTAACACTAACTAGACTTAAAAGAATGTACATAAATAAATATATGCATATATATACAAATTATTTTTAAAAAGGGCATAAATTTCAGAGGAGGATGCATGGGAGGAGAAGGAGATATGATAAAACAGTGTATGAGGGACATATGAAATGTAAATGAATTTCATTTTAAGCTTGGGTCTTAAACAATATCTCAATAGATATATGCAGTTTGGTTTTCCTGGTCTGTGGTTGCAGGGTTTTGAACATACACCACATGTGACCGTTAAACAGTAAAAGAGCACCTTAAGGGTTTTCTTTGCTTTTCCCCTTCACATTTTTAGCTTATTAAATTTGCCATGAGAACACGCTGATTTCCAAGAGAAAAGCACCTTCTTCTCAAGTTCACGGTGTAGTCAGATCTGTGCTGTGACAGAGCTGAAGGTTTCTTCCCAGAGCTCATTTCCTTGTAAACTGATGACACCACCATGAGGTGTTCTGGTGCTGGCCACATTTCAAGCCCACTTTGGGGGGTTCAGGGCTTAGTCATCTCACATTCAACCATGACCTGGGTTGTGTTTACAGACAGTAAAGACTGTTGATTGGCACATGACCATTTCAACTGGTCAGACTGAATTTGCCCTGCTGTAAGCTTGGTGAGAAGGAATTTAAATGATAGATTAGTTTGTTATCTACTGAACTTGAACTTGTTTCTTTAGGTGTTCTAAATGTAACTGTTGAATATCTTGACATGTGCATGCACATGGCCCCCACAAGGCATTCTCAATCACCTTTGGGCACAAGCAGTTCTGATTAGATATTCAAGCTGTAATCGCTTTTAAATTAATCACTTAATTTTTTGATAGTATGGATGAGACCTGTGCACATCAGATAAGTACCTTGCTATTTATTTACTTATTTAAATACATTTATTTACTTATGAGTTTGTTTAAATTCACTAACCAGCTAAGGATGACCTTGAACTTCTGATCCCTGTGTCTATAATCCCAGGAGTGCTGGTATTATAGATATTCATCACAGCATTCAATGTGGACTTTCATTTACTTATTACATTTATTATGGGGACATTTGCATGGTACTGTTTAGTTTGATTTTTGACAGTTTCACACATGTATACAATATATTTTGATGCCATTTACCAGCACCACTATGCCATGACTAGAGGACTTTTTAAAGGTCTGCCTTCAGTATGTAAAAGTACTCACCTGCATCCGATGTTGCTGCGGATGCAGCAAGGAGAGATAATACCGGGGCGGAGGGAATTGCAACACTGTCCACTGCAGTTGGCTTCTTCCTGGCCATCATGGTGGATACTGAGCCCTCGCTCTTATTATGTGCTGGCGTCTGGTCCACTTTTAAGTGGGGACTTGGCATTCCTATAAAACAATAAGCCGAGAACCTGTAGTTGATATAAAGGAACAGCAGGGCAACCATCATAAAATCTGAAAGCAATATGAGTAAATAGTCCAACTGTTGGTCCTCCTAGTACAAAAGAAAGTTCAGAATACTGAAAGAGAAAAAAATTGCCATGGTTAGTTTGAGGGTAAGGTTAGGACTAAGGACCTTCTAGAATGGGTTTCTAAATATGAGGCCAGGTACAGATATAATGAAGCAGTATAATGTATGGGTACCCAGCAGCCTTCTGAGGACCAAAAGGCCCATCTTTACAGAGGTTATACTGAACGCAGTATGAAGGGCAGTTCACTTAATTCCTACCCGAGGCTCCCATCTCACCTGACTGGGAAGACAAGACTACCTGAGGAGAAAATACTGTGCAACCAATTCCTGTAGGCTTGGGCATTATTTATTCTAGATGCTGTAGAGATTCAAAAGTTATCAGATCAGCATGAAAAGAGATGAGGAGACACGTTGTAGAGCTCATGCAGAACTGTGAGGCTGAAGGCAAGTCACTTTTGGTGCCAGGAAGAGTACATGCAAAGTAATAGGTAGGGAGGAACAGAGTCCATATAGGATACCTTAGGTGTCCATCAGTGGCTGACTGGATCAAGAGAATGGGGTATACTATGAATAGCATTCATATACTAAAGTGAATGACATTCTAACAAAATACATAGACTATAAATATGAGATTTTCTCAAATGTAGAACTTAAAAACATGACTTGAATGTATAGCAGTGATTGCTAGAGGCTCAGAAGGATCATGGCAGATTAGATTTGAATAGTTGATTTGGAGGACTTTGATTGTCAGAACTCACTAGCATCATAGATCATGCGATTAGGATGTTGTTGCTCCTCATACTATTGTGGGTGATTCTGGACCCTAGTTCCTAATCTATATCCCATTTTCCAGCTCTGATACTTCCAGGCTATATGAAGAGCAAGTTACTTAACACAAGTTAATGTAACTTATATTTAAGTACGTAGTTTTAAACATTGAGTTTTCATGGCCAACCAATGGAAAACATTTGGAAGTGGATAAGGATAAACTGTTCTTCAGAGATTCAAAAATCACGTTTATGTTAGAGTTTAACTAATTATAGCATTTACATTATGAAACTTGTGAAAAGTTCAAAACTTCTTTGGTGTTCGTCCTTTGATTTTTCTGCATGTGCTAACTACCTTTATCTTTTTTAGTTAGACAGTACACACATTTCTGGTTCAAAATATTGTTTTGTTTCCCATGCTTTATTCAACACCATGCATATTCTTAAAGAATTCTTTTCAAATTTCTTTCACTGTCTTTCCTCCTGTGCTGGTTGGTTGTTGCCAACTTGACACAAACCTTGACATATCGGGGAAGAAGGAGTCTTAATGAGAAAAATGCCTTCATATGATTCACATATAGGCAAGTGTGTAGGGTATTGTTTTGATGAATGAACCCACAGTTGGTGGTGCCACCCAGTCATGCTGTTGTGGGTGGTGTGAGAAGGTAGGCTGAGCAACCCCTGAGGAGAAAGTCAATAAGCCACATGCCTCCATGGCCTCTTCTTCAGCTCTTGCACCTAGGCTTTTGCCTTGAATTCCTGACCCAGCTTATCTAACTTACGGAGTGGGAACTAAGAGTTGTAAGATGAAATAAACTTTTTCACCCTCCCCCACCCCTAGAAAAAAAGAGTGGGAAATGACAGAAATTTGTGAGTTGGTGGTGAGCATTCATCAAGTGAATTGTTGTTAGGCACTTGGAATGTGTTTAAAGACACACTCCATGCTTTGCAAGTTTCTACCATTACTGCTAGTGTGTAAATGTCTATCACTATTATTACAGATATGGAAGTAAATATAATCCATGACTTTCTCAGAAGTAATTTAAACCAGTAAGTAAAGGTTCAGCTCTTTTTCCTGATACAGTTAAGGATTTATGGACACCTATCTATATCTCTAGCTGTAAACTTCTAAGCCTAGAGGGTTGAGCATGCCTGTTCCATTTCAAATGGACATCTCAGGCTTCCTCCATCTGTAGTCTGTACACTGCTCAGACCAACAATAACAAATTAGGTTTTGTTAGTTATTTTCGACACTCTTTTTTTCCATGCCAACCAACCTGAGTGATATAGTCCCTTCCTAGAGCAATGTAATCTCAATCACTCTAGTGAGATGACCTTTAATCACGTTGGCGTCATGGCAATTCAGTGAGGTGTGACCATGGCTATTACTAGTTTCTCAGGTTTACAGCTGGGAAGCACACCCTTTTGCAGAGCTTAAGGAAAAGACGAACAAAGTCCCCCCACTCTTAGGCAGAGCTGGATATCTCCAGTTGCCTAATGCAAAAGCCATTACTATGGTCCATTGGGCCATGCTAACACTGACCACAATCCAATCCCTCACAGTACGTTTCATGCTGAGAACACTGAGGTCTTACTGCATGACTGGGTGATGTACCTGGAGGCACCTGAGGAGTGGGTCATGCTAACATTATGTTTTATTCCCTGCTACCCTCCTTCTACTCTCCATTCTTGTCTCAGAGACTTTTGCCCAAGAAGATGCCATGAGTAACATTTTGCTCCTTTCTGAACTTGCATTTCAGAATATTTTGAAGGTAGAAAGAGAGGAATGTCAAATTCTGTGGTAACAGTATTACAGGGCACATACATCGAGATATAGAAGAATGTGCAGTGCGCTCTATTAGCAAAAACAGGGGTTCTTAAGAGAGACTAAGTGCATCACCTACTGTAGCCACGATCACCTCTAAGAGTATCCATCCAAAGAGCTTACTCCTGTCAGGGCTGACTCCTGCAAAGGAGGGGTCAGGGATTCATGGGTTATAGGACGTGGTGACCTTTACTTTACTATTTTATGTATACTATATTATATATCATGCATGTGATACATGAATAAATTAAGGAAGAGGAAAGGTCTACTCTGTAGTCCAGCTATTCTGGAACTCACTATTTAGCCTAAGCTGGCCTACAATTCAGGTGGTAATCCTCCTGTCTCAGTCTCCTAACAGTTGGGATAATAGGTACAAACCACTGCTTCTAGCAACTTCTAACATTTTTAAAGTTACAAACATGTTGTAACTTTCTTTTTCCATTGATAAAACACTTTTAGGGCAAAAAAAAATCTAGAAATATCGTAGAGCATGGGGTAGTAGCATGGTGGGGTAGTTTGTGACTGTTAAGTCTGGCTGTAGGGACAGCAGTCAGGAAACGGATGAGAACAAAACCAAACCCCAAGTTTTGGTTCTTTGCAAGACCACAGTTGTATTCCTTTCAAAGACAAGTTGGAACTCTAAGATATCAGCATTTATTACATTGAATAGCTGCTGCTTTGGGAAAAAAAAATCACTGACAAGCCATTTTTATACCTGTAAATGCAGATTAAGCAGATACCTTTCTATTTAAATTATGACCTGTTTGGGGAATAGAGGCAATAAACAGGATTAGTAGATGAATATTTAACCCTCACTTGGGAATAAACTGATTTCCAGTCATTTCAGTTGCACCCATTTTCATGCAAATGTTTACAATCTAAATTAGTCTCTGTCCACATCATCTCATTAGAGTTGGTCTGATCATACCTCTGCTGGGTATACTTTGCCACTCAAGTATTTATGATACAGACAATGTTAAATGCAATAAAATGACACTGAGAACACTCTGTCATTCAGATCATCACTGTTTAGCTTCAGGAAAAAAAAAAAACCTAGACAATTTAGGAATTGTCAACTTTTGAAATCATATTTAAGGGAAGGAAAACTAAACTAGCCCTAGCATTTTTCTCAGTCATTTTTGGATTTTGAAGGGATAATGGAAACCCAGAAATGGCATGTATTAACAAGGCTATCAGATAAACTTTAAACAAAGGATATCACTCTTTCTGAGAGCAGAGGACAGGAGAGCTTGGAATGGGGGTGGGAGGAGCTGCCTCTTGGGAAATGACATTGTGCAGGTAGCCAAACTGAGAGTTTGTTTACCTTCAGTCTAGTGACAGCAGATGGTCCATGATGGAGCATTTGGAGCCTGGCTCCTCTCTCTGCACATAGGAACAGGATTTTTTTGAGTCAGGAAATAGATTATTAAAAAAACAAAACAAAACAAAACAAAAAAACCCAGAGTCTTGCCCATACTGGGCCATTGAGAGCACCCTGTGTACATGGGAGCATGAGAAAGGCTGGGTGGCTTGGGAACGGGAAGGGACCATCACCTAAATCCCGAGGGAAGTCTGGACGGAGAACATTCTTGGTAGAGGAGTTCTGATTTTCCTGCACTCCAGCACAAACCATAGCGTACTACTGTTTGCTTATCCAGAGGCCAATGGGTTTCTAAAGGAAGAAATAATAGCACTAACAACTTTGTTCATCTAACATATGCTCATAATTAAGCGAGAGAATTGAGAGAAAAATTAAAAGCTACTTATTTATATGAAAATGTAATCACAGTAACCTGTTGACCTCTACTGATCGATTTTTGAAACCTCTTTGTAACTATGCTAGAGCCTATCAAGGGACAGCCACTCATTTTAAAGGTAATTTCTCAGATCACTTATCCCCTCAAACCTTTACCTGTAGACCATGTTTGCATTAGGGACTTGATTTATGGATTCTTCTCCTGAGATGCAGAAGCTGACTTCCTGTTGCCTTGGTTACTTGGAACTCAGTTCAAGGTTAAACTACTCCCAATCAAAATCACCGGCAGGCGCTGAATCCAGTGGCCAGGTTATTGACTGCCCCAGGATGCAGAAAGGTCAGGGACCAAAGCACTGTTTACTGCCTTACGGGTGAGTCAATAGCTTCAATATTTTGATTCTCTTCCTTCTGAAGAAGTAGCTGCTCAATTACCTCTTCCCCCAGTTATTCAAGGTCACAAGGGTCGTGGTGGAAAGCAGGGTCTGTGGTGGCTGACTTCCTCAGGATCGCTTTGATGAGCTTTGTGACCTTGGCAAGCAAAATCAACTAACTCTTAAGTAATTTGTATAT